TATTTAGAAAGATATTAATGAATCATGTTGTCTATATTGCTAGGTCATTTCTTCTGCCCTGTAATATATAAATATAAGGAGCTTGCAACTGAAGGGCATTATATTGAGGGCAAATGGAAAGAATTGCTCTACTGCGTGGTGCATTGTCTCATGATTTCGTTGCTATGGGATGTAATTGTATTACCCAGTGTACTGATAGATTTCAAAAGGGTAGTTCATAAGCAGTAATAACATTTGTGGCAATCTGACCTAAGTTAATGAAAAAGATAATAAAACCTAATGCTACAGGGCAAGATATCGGATGTCTCCAGGGGTCATAAAGAGATCACACATCTGACTCAGGGGAAGAGGAGGCGGCAGTTGTATATATGGAGCGCAGAAGAGACATCAGACAGCAGAAAAGTAAGGGTCACCTTGCTCAGCATCAATGTGTGTTGTTCACTGACAGAGGCAGGAGGGTATGTGCTAGATGTATCGTTGAAATGAAGAAGCTTATCAAGCTAATGATATTTTTAGTAATGCCAGTACCTGATGAAGTATAAGTTTCAGCTGATCCCAGACATTTGTCTCTATGCGTTGATTGAGATATTGGATTAAGTAGTTTACGTGTGCTTCTGCCTTGCCCATAGTAAACATACTTACCTGGGGGCTGATCACGGATGGCATTGGAATAGCCTTTTTTTTTGTTTTTCAATAAACGCTTACTCCAGCCTGAAGCTCAATTCTGTTCCTGATGTCAACGTAATATTTTATTGTATCTTTAGACAATACCCAGTGGCGACTTTTTCCTGCTTCTAACTATAAATGCAGCAAGTTTTCTGTGTGGACACTTTCACCACCACATATTAGTTTACCACTTGAGGGTCCTGACAGTGCCTTATGCCCTGGCTAGTAGCAGAAAGAGTGCATGTGCTCCTTGTAGGTACGTAATTGATAATGCTCAGCATGAGATGTGCAATGGTAACTGTAGCTGGCATACAAGAATGTGTTTTCTCTCACAGACTTGTGCTATATTTATTGCAATTATCTCCTTCATGCTGCTCTGCTCCTTTGTACATTCCTTGTTAGCATTTTTCTTTTTCTGCTTCTGCTCTCCTTTATACAGATCTGCTTTTGACTAAAGTAACAATTCTTATACCAAGTCCTAGCCATCTGAGACCATCTAGTGCTATAGCCTGGGCCTGTACATGGCCAGGGGTAGATGATTAGGAAAACCAAGAAAGGCAAGGACTGCATGAAAGGGTCCCTCCTTTCATATATCTTTCCAAGTCTCAGAGACTTCCTAATTAGGCGTTTCAACTACCATACTGTGAATTTGATAGTTTGATATCATTTGATAGCTATTCCAATCTGAATAGAAGTTTTGAATCCTTTTTTGAATGTCTAGATAAATATTATTGGTTTCCTATACATCCAGTAAGAAGTCTTAAGAGTTCTCCAGTAAAGTACTAATAGAAAAACATTGGTAGGAGAAACTGTGGGGACTGATGGTTTTGGCTCTGCCTAGCCATTCACAGCCTCTTCTACTTCTGTGCATTTATGCAGCTCACATTCATCCTATACAGATAAAATGTTCACTGATAATCTGTGTGTATGGAGACCCTCCTATCATTTACATCTTCTGTGCAACTCTCCTGTTAGTTTGCATATGCATGTAAGAACTCACATAGAGGTTTGCCCCAGCCTAACCATGAGACAATCTCATAATAATGCCATAATCCTCCAAGCAGGATGAGAGGGGTATGCTGAGGTCACAAGGATGCTAGGAAGGACCAGCAGGGAATATCCAAAGCAGAAATGGAGCTACATAACTTAAAGCTCACAGCTTGGTGCTGAAAAGTGGCTTTGCTTTCACAGAGTTCATCAATGGTAGGATGCTGAAACAGAAAAGGTAGCAAATTGGTCTCACATGATCTTAGTGCAGAGCTAACACACTGCATGGTACCATCTAGATATGTCCTTGTAGCCTATAAATGAGAAAAAAAAAAAATGGCTATATTAGATATTTGAGTACGTTTCCTTTCTTCAGAACAACTACACACAGAATTTAATGGGAAATAATGAAGAAAGAACTTTTGGTCCATAAGCTTTTAGTATGATCGTCTGCATTCTTTAATTGCTTATGTGGATTTCATGCAGTAATACTTAGTACTATAGTATTCTAAATAGCTGTATTCCTATGAAAATTTTCTAGCTTCTTTTCACATCTGTCAGAAAAGCTTCACGAATTCCTAGGAGTAGGATTATTTGTCGTGTTTCTCCTGACTTTTCTGAAGCAAAAAAAATTAAAATCCAGCTGTTAGGTTTTACAGTAGAAGAGAGGAAATAACAGTAATAAATCTGCTTAAATTTATCATGAGAAGAATAATTACATTTCTATAAAGCTTGGATTGAAAAAAAGAAAAAAATCAAAAGTCCAAACACCACAAAAAACTGATTAAAATCTACCATGTAAAAATTGACTGCTTCTACCCACTCCTCTCCACAGTTCCTGAGAGCATCACTGTGTTTATATTTTGAATGACTGTGGTATGGAGTTATTGAAACTAAATCAGGTTCAATAAAACAAGGTATTGAGGGATTTCTGTGGGGCTGAAGTTCAACCTAGCAGTCTTGAATATATAACACCAAATACAGATTTTGCTTAAGTTAATACCAAAGGAACTTTTATTTAACTTGCTTTCTGTTTTTGCTCTACAAGAGAAAAATTAATCTCATCACCTCTAAGAAAGTCAAAGTTATTCCAGAAAAGTGAGAGATTACAACGTGCCCAGCACTGCAAGTAGAGGTAGTTGTTTTAAACTATAGCATTCAATCTTCTGTATTGCTTCTCTCAGTCTTTCAGGACAGCCCTGAATCTCCGCAGGATGGATTCTCAGCTGCAAAGTATCCAGATCCCAATTTATGTGTATGTGAATATTCAAGATTAACAAGAATAGACTCCCTGTGGGTGAAACAGTTAGTGCAATTCAGACCACATTCTTTTTTCCTTCCTTGTCATAGAGGAGGCTGTTGAAAATATGTCTGATGAAACTGCAGGTTTCTATTCTACTCATTAACAAATCCTATGTTTCTAGTTGGGATTAGGTGAAGTATCTCTCCCCATGACTGGATGGCCAACAGGCAGGGTAAATGAGTTTAAATATCTGCTGTAAATTGAGAATAAATTCAACTCTTTTCCCCACATGATAATTGCTGTCCTTTCCATTCCTGTACAGTGTATGGGTTGTGGAGATTTTTGTACATGCAGTCCATGATCAATGATCCAAGCAGATGTCCCATGTCACAACTTGACTGGAGAGTAGGGAAGAAAAGATTCATGGCTTGGGTTTTCAGTCAAGTTGCCTTCTTAGCCAGAGATAGGTGCCTGATCATTGCCAGTTTTATTAGATACTTAAGCACAACTTTTGCATATCCTCATTATATCATTTCTGATGGACTTATGCAGGCATTTGCTGGTTCTGGAGGTAACCTTACACAGATTCCCACACAGTGCCTGGAAGGACCAGGCCCTTCTGGGACCTGGGGACTCTATGCTGGGGTAGGATGCACTGCAAGAGCAGTGGAATGTTTATTCTGTGTCTATCGTCTTGCCACCCAGCCACTGTGGCCACACATCCCTCTTCCTGTGCAGTGACCTGGTCGTTAATGTGTGCTTCATCCAGGTAGTATTTGCTCAGGCATGGGAGCCTTTGGAGCAGCAGTGTGAAATGGGACTAGTAAGGGTGTCCAGTGCTGCAGAACCGGTGAAGTGAGAGATGTGAGTGACTAGGGTATGAACTGAGAACCTGTCCAGATGGAGCCTGCATACACCAGCTTCTCTCCCCCTGTATGCCCTGGTTTCCACATTAAGGAAATTGGGGGTGCCTTAGGCAGGACCTGCAGTGCTCCCCAGAAGGTGATGGTTGCCGTGCATAATGTGCCAGGGCCCTGGGGCATGTCATCTGGAATGGTTACAGCTATGACTGCTCCCACTTACCCTGGGTGGGCTTATCCAAAATGCATATTAACTTGCCATGTTTAATATGCATTTGAGTCTCTTAAATGAGACTTCAAAGCTAGCCTTATGTAGCATCACATAAGGCTTGACAAGGCTGTTGTTTAGCTGGGTGCTGGCACCAGTATGCACTCAGTACCCCTGTACCCTGCTCTCCCGTATACCCCTCAGAACCCACTGTCATCCGGTATTTCATTGTTCAGTATGTTCCAAAAACCCCAGACAAATGCATTAATTCAGTGTTGCTCTGCTGGTTCAGTTCCCAAGCAGCTGGCTGAGTTAAAAAATGGGTTAAGCATTTAGACACTGACTATTCTTGGATTAGACCGGGATACTGTCACTTTCTAATCTTTCCACTGATAAGGTAACTGGATCACAGTTTTAAAGTTCACTGCAGCCTAGGTATTCTGCCCTTAAAAATGTCTTACTTTGACTCTCTGAATTATTCTTTTTAATTCCCCTGGAACATCCAGGACAAATACAGGGCTCTGTGAATCATCTCATTCATGCTTCATACACAGGTAACGCTGCTGCTTGTCTGTTTTATTGACCTGTTTACACATAGCCAAGGGTCGAGCTGCAAGCTGACTGTCAATTGATGATATTTTGATTTCCCGGAATTCCTGCACTACAACTGATTTTAAAAGTTAAACATTGAAGAGATCCCATCAGTTTTTAAAAGTCACATTCCCACTCAGTTCTTTCTCATAATCGCTGTTACATGGAAGATGACTGGGATCTCAGTAACAATAAAAATATAGGGGAGAAGTCTTTGGCCTTAGTCTGGTGTTTTGGATGATTTGTTTTTCGTATTGCACTCTACAACATTTATGCATTTGTAAATGGTCTGTGCCTCTGCTGACTGTTTATTATCAGTTTCTTCCCTGAAAACATATAAACCTGGGTCTGCTTAAGAGCCAGAGCACATCACAGATGAGATTGTGGGGGTGGTGGCCAAAAAATAAAAGCTGGGTAGGGTCAAGGACTGAACCTTGGGTCCACCCCTTTCTGCTTATTGCCGTTCTGCTCTTCCCTTTTCAGAGGAAACTACTGAACTTGGAAGGAAGACTCCACTGTTCCATAATCATGGCACTCTTTTCTTTTGTAACCCCAGTCTTTATAGCCATTATATGTATTTTGATTGGGGTAATACTGAAGAAGACTGATGGAGAGAAGGAAAAATATGAGACTAAAAGCAAGCCTCTATCTCATCCATGGGTGGATGAAGATTTAAAAGATGGCACAGACCACCACTTAGAGGAAGAAGGTAAGGAAAAACTGTGCATCTGAGCACTTCTGTTGTTTGAATTTTATCTGCTGATATGAATAAGGGAGATGCAATCTTCTGGGCTTCTCTGCAGTGATACCGACACATAGTGCTACATCGGTGCTGTGTCCTGAGCTTCCCAGCTCCCTGGAAGGAGGCTGTCCCCATGTTATGTTACCCTTGATGTAAATCTTGATTTCCTCCAGATCTGGCATGTCAGAATGCAAAAGGAAAATCAATTTTCCAAGGCTCCTGTCTGTCACTTTGCACAGGAAGTGTCAGATATATGAGGGACAATGTACGGAAACAAAGGAGATACTGAGGAGGTCCCCCCAGCTTTTTCCCAGGTCTCACTAGTGTGAGCAAAGTGTAGACCCAAACAGAGAGTTTCTATCTGAAAGCTGATTTTGTAGTCTCATCCCACTTTACCATCCAGTGCTACATATTTGTTCTCAGCACCCCTAGAAAAGTTGGAAATGGGTTTCTTACTCTTACAGAAGTCTTTCATTTGTGACTTCTGAGGATGTCCATAAGAGTTTTAGCTGGATTGGAAGTGGGATCATTTGGGAGCTGAGTTGATCAAATATTTAAGAACAAAATATGGTAAAGGTGCTAATCTGTTTACCCAACTGCATATTTGAACCTGTATAGAATACCTTTTTTTTCAGTAGTGATTTCTGATGCACAGCTTGAACAGAATTTTGAGCACAAAATCTGTCCTTCCTTCTTTTTGCTCCCTCACTATCTTCCATAAGCTCCATTTATTTATTTGTGAAATTAAGAACTTCATAGGAAAAGAACTTTGTAGATTTTTATCTTGCAGATAATGTAGGATTTTTTTTTCTTTTAAAGCTAGTTTCAAAGGCTTTTTGTGTGTTTTTTTTTTTTTTTGTCCCATAATGACACATTCTCTGTCTGCTTCTAGAAATCTTGAAACTTATATTGGTTTTCTGCACATAGACCTGTTTCTAAGGACTGTTCTTTCTCTTTATTTCTCAGTGTTCAGTGTACTTTGTGTTAGTATTCTTTATCTGTTTCCAGAAATAGTTGATACTCAGAACATTTTAAACCACATTAACTATTTCCCAAGTATTCAAAATGTCTTTAAAGATTACTTCATATGTTGTATCCTTTTTTGTTCAATGCAAAATAGATTCTCTATAAAATTACTCCGTATTTCTTTTTTTCACTAATAGCTTACTTGTTCATTTAAACTGCCGCAAACTAAAATTCCTGTGGATAGATCAAGTTATAATATATGAATTATCACTGACACACATCTTTGACTACAGCTGTTTCTATCAGTTAAAAAATTTAGATCCCCTAGATAAACAAACCTAGTAACTCTTAGTAAGGAGTTTCACTGCCACAGCTCCATATATAAAATATTATTCTTTTAGGTCTTAGCTGGTTTCCCTTTTATTCAGGTGCTAAATTCCAAACTGTACTTGTTTGCTATTACTCAAACAAGATGTATTTATTTTTAAATAAGGCCTCTCTCAAGCTACCATGCCATCCAACATGAAATTAAGTTTTCTTGCTATGTTGTTTTCAACAGCAAAGAATCATCTTTCCCTTAATGGTGTGTGATTCAAACCAACATCTTTGCATATAGGCATGTCTTTTATTTCTAGAAAAAATAAAATAATTGCATCATGCTTAGGGAAGTTTTTCTTCAATAGTGGAAAGCCCAGACTGAGAAGAGACTATGGTAAGGGTTTGCTTCTCTGCTAATGCTGTAATTAAGGATCAGAATATATTCACCTTGTCAGTGTTAAAATTTTCATTGACTGCATTAGATGCTGAAACAGAAACATGGATTTAAATAGAGATTTTCTTTGTAGAAAAGAATATTTTACCTGCTGTGTAAATTCTGCTACTCTACTAACATATCTTACTTTATCAGAAAAGCTCATTTCTATTTTAATGTCTCAAGCTGGCTTGTGCTTAAAGATAAAGTTCCTTTGAAAAGCATTTGAGTTAAGAGAGAGCAAACATTTTTAAGGTCTTGTCTGAAGCTAGAATCTAGGCCTGCTGTAGGTGAATGAATTGAATTTTCAACAGCCCCCTGACAGGAAGGGGTGGCTGAAGACCAAGTATTTCAGTATGTTTCCATGACCAAGGTGAGAGTGCTTTGCCAAGAGAGTGAAGTGGTCGGTAAGAAATACACTGAACTTCCTCAGGCAACCTTGGCCCCGTGAACATTCCCTGAAGTGGCACCAGCAAGGATGCTGCCACTGAGAAGGGCATACCTTCGAGCAGCAAAGCATTCAGTGTAACCAGATGAACTGCTTGGACAGATTCAGTAGAGTCACTTATTGACAGTGAAATGTTGAAGGGGAGGGCCAAGTGCTCCCAAGCTTGTCTGTGTTATTGTTTCAGTAGCTGAAGAGAAGGATGTTTTTCAGAGCAGCCAGAAACCCAGTTCTTTGGTTAAGTGAAAAGCATTCACTCAGTCAATTTGTTTAATGCTTTAAATGGCAGTACTTCAGATTTGTTTGCATACCCATCTGTCCTGTAACATTTCCTTCATTTATGAGATCCAGAATGAGAGATTATTGTGCTGTGGATTGGCAAGAATGGGCTGTGTGTGTTTATCTGGCTGTGTCTTGCGTTAGAACACGTGTGGTTATCAGTTAGATAAGGATGAAAAAGATGTTTCTTCAGCCTTGTCTTGAATGATGACTCACAAGGTTTGTCTTCTAGTGGTGGGCATCTAATCCCAAAGTGGTGATGCCTCATCTCCCACTGCTTCAGGTTTACGCAATTAGATCTGGATTGTTGCAAAGACAAGTTCAGTCTTTAGCTCAGGGAGCTTATTGTATATTGGTCACTTTCTTGGTTGTATATTCAGATCAGTCCAATTGACAGATAAGGTAAACACAGAATTTACAGTGCTGTGGAGGATAAGGTTGAATTTCATTTGGATCCTTGTTACCCTGGGGATCAGTTACAAAGTTTAATAGCAAAGGCATTTTATTGCTGTGTATTTAGTTGTGGGGACTTTGGTAATGCACTCAAGGACTAGAAAGCAATGTACAAAGGCCCAAAAGTTCCATCTCTTCTGAAAGTGCACTGCTCGTTGCTTGTGATACTTCTTAGAACAGATGTCTCCCACTTAAAGGATTTCTCTCTGCAAGTTCAAAAGATTCCCATATCTTTTAATATTACTACTGTCATAAATGAGGCAGTAGCATTGAATTTTCCAATTTGATGACATTTCATGCTTTGTGCTATTTAGAAACACAGGATTTATGTGGAGATGATGCATTATTGTATTATTGTATCATTTTCCAGCCCTGGTGTATAACCTCCTGTGGTTTATACACAGCAAACAGATTACCTCTCAGCTTTCCTTTTACTACATAAACCAGCAAATCTCTTTATAAAACAGCTGCTCCATTCCTCTGAAGATCTTAAGAAGCCTTCTGCGACTATATTCCAGTTTGAGGCAATTTTCACAATAGTTTTGTGCTGGCTTTTTTTTTCCAGTCTCTGCCTCTTGATACTTCTTCTGCTTAGGATCCCTGATTAACTCTTGAGGTTTTCAGGATCAGCCTGCTAACCACTATTTATAACTCACTAGTAAGGCACTCCATCTCTTTTAGCCATGCACTCAGTTCAGGACTGGATTCAGGACTGGGATTATGTAGTAGTCTGCCATTAATCAAGCAATAAAAGACAAGACCAGTTGTCCAGCATTTTAAGTCCAAAGATCTGAAAGCTGTCATTGTGTGCATTCAATTGTTTTTCTATGCATCATGTATTTACACTGGAAAAGAAGATTGGAGAGGGATTCTATGCTTAGAAAGCAGTTCCTTAGAGAAGAAACTTCCTTAGAGAAGAGCTGGTTTTGAAAGCAAACATGTTGGTCTTGACTGAGGTTTCAACTGAGGCTTCTCAAGGATCAGATTCAGCATCAACTGATAATACTATCAAGTGATCTTTCCATAAAACCAAGAGGTGTGCAAGTGAAATTTCTTAATGACTTATAACTGGGAGCCAACAAGAAAGGGACGTGTCAGTATATATAAAATAAGTGGCCAATAGAAATTAAATGACAAGTCATTGTTCTCAGTGTATGTTATTAGATATTAACTGTAAGAATTTTTGCTACACACTGAGGCAAAATTATTGCATCGTTTGTAGGCTCATTATAACTTCCCATATGAACTGCTGAGAAGAACACAAACATAATCTTAAAATGTATCCAGAGAGGAGTTTCTGATAGAGTTAGAGAAAAAATACTTTTAAAGTGAGATTTCACTTGGGATGTCTGAGCCAAAACCTTTCCAGGTTTACTTAAAAAGCAGGAAGACTGATGATTATTGTAAATGTACAACAAAGTTCATGGCAATCTTTGGAATATTGGAAGGTAATAGATTGACTAGCAGGATGTCTGTTGTCCATCAATTGATGCAATACATGTGATGTAAACAAGACATTTGTAGTATTGTATAATGTGACCATACAAACAGGAATATGTCTAAACACAGCAATTAAAGATACAGAGAATATGCACTAAACAGATGGTGCTGATAATGATTTTAGCTTAGCATATGGATAATGTTAACCACTAAGAATGAATGGTAGACACATGGTGTCAGAGAATAAATAATAGCTTGATTTATTAAAAAATAATTAAATTGTCAGGAGAGTTTTGGCTTTGTGTGTCAGTTCTCTCACTTCTGAGCTCTCCTGCCTCAGCCAATATTCCCACTTCTGAGTGCATTAAGGATTTTAAAGTTTTGGTTACAAAACTTAAGCTTAGATACAGTGATTCTCACACTTTGATTCTCTCTAGTCACCTCAACTTTGTCCCATGTTCAGGATCTTTGAAAGCAGATTTCTTTTTTCACCATGTTGTTAAGTTGAACTATCCTGACCACAAAGCAGTTTAACTTTTCACATCTTCTCTTCTATTTACATGAGGGGGGAAAAAAAAAAACCAAACCAAACAATGCAAAAGAAGCGAACAAACCTCTGAAAATTTAAGTTGGCTTTACCTTGGGTAATACTGCAAGTTTTATACTTCCTTTCCTAGGAGGTGTAGGTTTCTGTGTTAACTCATCCTCTTCTTCCATTCCTAGTTGCCTATAGAGCATTTAAGTGAGATGTTTATTCAACCAATTACATCTTGATTTAAAGAAATGCCAAATTTCTCTGCTTCCTGATCCCTGAATTCTTCAGTCTGAGTTTTCTAGCTTAATTTTCCTTAATCCTTTTTTTTCCCCAAGTTTGTTCCCTTAAAAATTGAAAGTCATAGCTGTATACTTACTTTTCCTCAGCCTTTGATTTTGTCAATTCAATTGCATCAACTGATAATCTCACTTTAGCACTGCCTTTTTGGTTTTTTTTTGTAATGTCCTCCTCACTGAAACCAAAGTGAAGAGATTTACTGCACCAAGAGAAGAACAGGTTGGTTGATTAAGGTATTGGATGTTTCAGCTAGGAAGCCTGGTTCCCAGTATTATCTTAATATTTCCTCTTCATTCTATGCCTAGAAAATTATGCTTCTGACAGATACTTAATAACAATTATGTGGTTGATGCAATATGTCTCTATTAAAGGTTTGTCCTCATCTAGATGTGACCTTGGGGGCCTCTGTAGGCTTCACACTATAAAAGAAGACAGCGTTATCTCAAAAAACAAGCTTTTTTTTTTATGCATGTGTCCTGGGTCCAGCAATAGCAGACATTTTTCTCCTTCTTAGTAGCTGGTGCAGTGCTGTGGTTTTGACTTTCATCCTGGGAACAGTGCTGGTAACACTGGTGTTCTTAGTTGCTGCTCAGTAATGCTTACTCTGACCAAGGACTTTCTGAGCCTCATGCTCTGCCAGGGAGGAGGGGAAATCGGGAGGAAGCAGAGACAGGACACCTAACCCAAACTAGCCAAAGGGGTATTCCATACCACAGCATGTCATGACCACTATATAAACTGGGGGCAGTTACATGGAAGGGGTGGATCATTGCTCGGTTGGGCTGGGTATCGGTTGGTGGGTGTTGAGCGGTTGTATTCTCTTCCCTTTTTATTTCCCTTATCATTATTATTGTTATTGGTGGTACCAGCAGTGGTTTCTGTTATACCTTAGTTGCTGGACTGTTCTCATCTCAACCTGTGGGAGTTACATTCTTTCAATTCTCCTCCCCATCCCTCTGGGAGCTGGGGGAGGAAGTGGGGTGGATGGAGCAAGTGGCTGCGTGATTCTGAGATACCAGCTGGGCTTAGACCACGACAACATGCTACTTTTTATTTCTTTACAGTCTACCACAACATCCGTTATTTCTTATTTTTTAATTGATACACTTCCTGCACAAGTCAAAGCAGGTACTGGTATCATTATTGCATCTCCATTCTTCCCTCCCTGTCACGTTTTGTCCTGTACAGGCACTTATAGCTCATCCTGTGTGCTGTCTAGGCTTCTGCACTGAACTGGGAACAAACAACATCTTCTCTGGATTAAGCACAGCATCTGAGTGAGTTCTCTGACTACTGTTCTCATCCATATAAGTAGTTTAATCTTACAATTCTTCATTCTGTTCTTCAACATTCATGTATGTGTTGATGGTTTATCACCTACTTGACTTTCCTCTCCTTGTGTTTCAAAACTAGACACAGAGATTACACAAGTTTCCTCCATCCTTTGTTCTGATTTGACAAATCCTCTTTCTAAAGATTTTCAGTATTTTATAGACTAGTCTTCATATCTCCAACTTGAAATGATTTCCTTCTTTTTGAACTTTGATAAAAATCTCATCACAAGAAAGTAAAGAGTGAGAGCACATAAAAAGTGAAGTGAGTTTTAATTGATTGTTCCTAGGCTAGAAATAGTCTATTTCCCAGGACACTCAACACTGTAAACTTGTGAAATAGGTAGGGATGATCATCTTGGCACATTGATACAAGCACAAATATTATAATCTGACCTGAATTTTTCACCAGGACACCAATCCAGTACCAACTTTCAGTATAGTTTTCTGGTCAGGTTCTGTCTTCCAATAGGCAATACACAACCTCAGCTGATTTCAGGAGTTTTTTTTGTTGTCATAAGGAAAACATTTCTGCCATTTAGAAACTACTCTCACTTGAGTACATATGGATAAAATTAACATGTGTATCATTCTGTGTAACTGCTAAATCTCAATCAAGTTCAGCAATGGATATCTTTGCTGTAGTTTTAGTACTGCTATACAAGATGGTTTGGGAGGGAGAATTAGTTTTACTGGACCAATAAAGACAGTTGCAGGAGGCCAGCTATCTTCCAGACCTGTAAGTCCTTTGTGAGGAGATTGCAAGAGAGGCTATGTCCCAAAGCTTGCTGGTTTTCCATCTTGTCTATGTCCGTGGACACTTCCTGAATTTCTCTACTGGCCAGACAAGTTCTCAGTCAAGGCAGAAAGGGTTGATGAGTTGCCATCTCCCTACTCCTTATTTTTTCCCTTAGGGTTTTATACTTTTGTGGGTCATCACTTTTTCTCTGAAATACTTTGGCTGCCAGTTATCACTGTCTTGACTTCTGCCTGTGGAAGGTTTTGCATACTGGCTTTTACCAGCTTAATGGTCCTTGAAAATGGCATCATATATATCATGCACAGCATGGAATGGGTGGAAAAAATGCGGAGTTTTAAACATCTCCCTGCCTTACGTCTCCAGCTACCCTATCACTCCAAAACATGTAGGATGTTGAACACTGGATCCCCAACAGCAGCTCTTTCTCTCAGCATCCTATTGCACCACACTACTTGCTAGTGTAAACATAGCCTTTTACCCCTGTGGTATTCCTTTCAGTGAGTGTGGAGGAGGAAAAGCAAAAAAAAATCGGGGTGTGAAAGTTTCTGAAAGAGAATATCACCAGAATCCTAGCAAAGGGGCAAATCTTAGACAGCCAGTTGCCATTGAATAGTAAATAACCTGCTTTACTAAGTCTACACCGCAAAGGGAACACTAGGAAGAGGCACCATTTTCCTTTTTCATTTGAGTGTGCAAGATGGCCACAAAAATAATTTTTACAGTGGGCACTGCTTCCCATTACCCTGGAGTCAGGTTCTTGCAGACTGTGACTGAGAGTGCTTAAAGCAGGCATGAAATGCTAAACAAAACAGATTTTCTGGGTGACTTCTTTGTACGCAAAATGAAATGTATGTTATTTAGGGACCAGAATAATTCTCTTTAGGCTCAACATATGACACTGGATGGGTTGCAGTCTCTTTCACATACTGAGCCACACTTGTGAATATTTCACTGCTATTTGTAAAATGAACAAAAAATCAGCTTGGTCTCTAAGGCAACTGCATGCTACTGAAACACAGAAATAATTGCTGTTTGAATTTGCACTGGAGATTGCTATGATTCCAGAATAATAGCCTAACGGTGACTGAAAAAGAACTGGAATATCTTTTCCTGACTCAGCCCTCTGTGGCAGATTGCTCAATACTATTGACTGGTCAAAATGCAAAGTTTAAATGGCTTTAACTTCCGCATCATAGTTGCAAAAAATGCTATCACTGCTGTTTCTAGGAATGTAGGGGAGAAAGAGGAGATCTCAGAGACAACAGAAGTGGTATTACAAAAACCCCAAAGAAACAGTTTTCAGTTAAATGAGGAACCATTTTGAGTTCTTAAATGAAAGAGAAGAAACATAATACCCTACATTTGATATGTTGTTATCCTAAGTATAGATGCCTGTCATCCGTTTCCCCTTATGCTGAAAGTATCATGAAACTGAAGAACTTAACCACAAAGTCACATTTGCAGAGCCTAAACTTGTGCTTCTGCTATGAAACATGAATATGGAAAAAGCTGACATTCAGCTCTTCAGGGGAGATTTTACATCTATTGATTGTTAAGTCCTCTTTTTAATGTCAGTAATTTATTTTTTTTCTGATTAGATTGCTCAGAAAGGGACACACATGTTTGCATTAACTGATTAAGAAAAGTGGGCTGAAGGTTTGGCCACATTTTCACCACTGTTTCAGCCTGTAACCTGTTTTTACAGGCTGGCCTGCAGACTGAAGTGGAGAGGACTATATCTTCTTTGTGGATTACAGCTGCTACAGCTAGCCAGGACCCGCATCCCTCTTGGTATTTAAACAAGGTGTTTATTCAGTAGCTGAAGCTAGGGGTCAATGAGTTGTGCCAACTGGAACCTCAGACTTTGTCTTTATAGTGGTATAGAAGTGGAATGTATGCCAGTGCAGGCCAAAGTGCATTATGGTCATGAATGCCAAAGATATAAATAGCATTCTCCAGAGGTAAACAAAAGAATTCCTAACCGCTTTTGTTTTCTTGCAGAGGTGGATGAAGAGTGGCAAGGACCTGAGGAAAATGTTGCCCATGTCCCCTTCTCTGCGGAGCGCTACACTGAGGCCGAAATGATTACAAGGTCAAAGATGTTTTATGAGCTTCTTAATAAGAGGCGGTCTGTCAGGTTTCTTAGTGATGAGCCGGTCCCCAGGGAGGTTCTCGATAATGTCATCAGAACAGCAGGTATGGTACCAAGTGGTTCAAGGTCTGAAAAAAGAGGATCAGCATTGCTGTTCGATGCTGTAAAAGTGATGGGGAAAAGCCAAGGGAATCAGCATTTGGCTTGTGGTTTTCCTAGTTTCACCTGTAGCCATAATGCGTGAGCACCTGTTGATTGATTGGAAATTACTCAACTTGAACAACTATGTTTGGTTTGTTTTTTTTCCAAACAAATCAATGAAATTGTCTCAGCCATAAATGGTTGACATAAATGGTTAGGGTTTACTATGGGAAAGAAGTTTCAGTCTAGAACAGAAAACTTTTCCCGTCCTTTCAAATCAGTTCCAGGTTCCACCTGCATATGGTCAGAGTGTTAGATGAGGACCCTTGTGGAGGTTATTTAACTGAATGTCAGAAATATATTTTTTTTTTTTTTGAGAATTCATGGGTTTGAAATCATTACTGTCATGTCCTGGACTAATCTCATCTCTGCTTTAGTAACACAGACTTCAGCCAGGAGTGGTTGTGACCCTTACTATTTTTCTTACTCTATGAACCAGCTACTGCTAATATAGAAAATATTAGAGAAACTACATAGAAAACTTTAGAGAAATGTTCAGTAGCCTCTAGCAGGATTAACAATACAGACATTTTTAGCATTTGAGGTGCGTTGTTTTCCCATTAAAAACTATAAGCAGCTTTGTTACTGCACTGTAACGAGTCTCCATCTTCCTCTAATTAGCTGGGAGTCATTAGAACACTGAGCATGTTTTGGCAAATGCAGCATAGTGAACAAGCCTGGAGTGCAGATGAAGTACTTAGTAACCCTGAAAGCTTTAGGCTGTGTAGAGAAAAAGAGAAAAAGCATAAATGTCATCAGTTCTTAGGCAAACCTGAGAAGATTCAGGGTTCACAATATAAACACATTTAATATAAAAGGTAGTTCAAGCTGATTATTCAGTATTTCTCAAACTGAAATCAGTGCTTAGGTAAGCAAACACTGTATGTGTTCAAGACCTTCAAATATTTTTGATATGTGTATGAGGGGCTAGAGAGATCTAAATAGTTTCATCTCTCAGCCTGCAGAGATAACTATACCTTTCAGTTTCTGGCTTTCATCCTCTAGGCTGTTAAAATATTCTCCAATGATGTTGATGTGTAACAAGAAGGGCTGAATGAGCAAGTGCAGATTTAATCCGTGCACACTTACACACACCACCTGTCTCTGGGACAACAAACTCAAACCTGTATGCTATATGGCAGGTGTCAGCATTATGCAGCTCCTCATCTTTGTCAGTCAGCAACAGATTCCTGGGGTGGTTACTTAGCCTTGTTTCCCTGAAAGCCATTAGCTTTGCCCTTCAGCTAAAATTGTGTCTCAGAGTTGGATGCACAGTCAGACAGTATGTTGCTTTGTTCTAACACTTTGCAATATCATTACTGTGTGCATATATTGCACCATAATGCTATCTCATCACAACAACCACAAAGGAATTTATGCATCCCTGACTTCGGTTTCCTCTAAGATGGCTGTAAGGAAAGTACCAACCTCTGTTGTTGTATTGGGACTTCACAGTCTTTGAGAAAGAAATGGACAGGATTGTCTGCCAAAATTTATCTCAGCCCTTTTTTCACTGATTCATCCACTTGCTTTGCTATTGCTCAGCTTGAAAGCCCATGATGAAAAGCTGACACCTCTCACTGCACACTCTCCTTCCTGGGTTTTCATCTTTGCCTGTTTTGTACGAAGGTACTTCACCCAGTGGAGCACACACTGAGCCCTGGACCTTTGTGGTAGTGCAAGATCCATATTTAAAACATAAGATTCGTGAGATTGTAGAAGGAGAAGAAGAAATCAACTACAAAAAAAGGATGGGAGACAGATGGGTTAATGACCTGAAAAGATTGAGGTACGAAAAATTCAGTGAGCTAAGCGGTTTGAAGGGGGCTGTGTTTCAGTCTAGGAAAAACTATATTGGGAAGTTTTAGGCAGACTTTCCCCTCTATCCCAACTTAATTTCAGGAAAGGGGGGTAAAAAATAGCAAAGCTGAAAAATATCCAGCTTACTTTTTAAAACCTTTGCTTGTGATGAAGTGGTAAAAGAAACTTGTCTTGAATTCTCCTAGTATCCTTTTCCATTTCTTCTTCCCTGTCACTTTTAATATATTTCTAAGATTCATGTTGGAAAGAAAAACTTAAAAATACATGTAGAATCCTGCCTTGGTGGCTGGTGTGTAAAACTGCCTCCAGTAAAAGGGATTATACACTATCCATCTTGATACTTTTCCAAGCATTTGGCTCCATTGTTATTTTTTTTCCCTATGTAACCCCTGATGTCACAACGCTTGTCCCAGTTTTTTTTCTGTTGTTCTCCAAAAAATGAAGCTCCCTAAGTTGTTGGGATCCTTGATGCCAACTAAGGTAACCCCACAACTTGCCCCCGTACAAGTGCTGAATTATGCAATATTTCATTGTTCTAAAGTCTGATTTTCTTAACTTCACACAATGGGAAGATGTCTTCTGAGCCTTGGCTTGTCAAATGAAGCATGTGCATAAAGCTTGAAACTATATTTAAGTTTACACCTTAGACCAAGAAGTTTTGGACTTTTCTGCTAGCAGTTTTCCCTAAAATCATTAAAAAGTGGGCACTGCTGGTAACAGGTGAACCTGCAAGTCTGCAAAATCCCAGGAATTAAACAATTTCAAGAGCAAATGCTTCTGAGGCCAGTTCATAAATAAGAGGTCAAGACCTACCTTCTATTTTTATGCAATTTCACTCTTGAGAGTGAGCACATCAACTGCTCAGCTGAATCTGTTGAAATAGAGAACTTTGTTCAAACTTTTTCTTTTTGTCAGAAATGTTTCTATTTAAGCTGATAATACTTAATCCTTCACAATAAGTGTCCTAAGCTTTAGTTTACTGCTATAATTGTCCTGTGCCTTTACTGTCCCTTTGCAGATGGTAAATGTGACTTACAGGAAAGTGAAAAGGTTGCAAAATAAATGTCTTAAGCATTACTCTTTTGCAGAACAAACTGGATCAAAGAGTACTTGGACACTGCTCCATATCTGATCCTCATTTTCAAGCAGGTATATGGGTGGCTTCCCAATGGCAAAAAGAAGACCCACTACTACAATGAAATCAGTGTTTCTATTGCCTGTGGTATCCTGCTTGCTGCACTGCAGGTATGCTGACAGAACAGACAGACTGGGAATCAGAATATTGGTTTAGATTACATACCAAGACTATTTTGCCCAAGTGAGGGTGGGGCCCAATTTAGATTTTAACGTTATCAGTCTTCTGTATTACTCTAGTTCCCGAAACTACATCTTTGTTTTGAGTTTCAAAGTTATTCTGCACGTTTATGTCTGAGAAGGTGATTCCTATCCTCTGGTTAACAAGAATAAAAACATAATGAGGCTTACTTCCAGAGTTGTCACTCTGCTTCTGGCACAAGTTTTAGCTCCTGTGGTTTCTGTCTTGTGCTAACAGGGCTGACAGGGTCTGCAGACTACCCTAGCACAGCTGTGCAGTGCCACACTGTCCCCTCCTTTTCAGTAATCCCTAAAAAAATGGCTTGACCCCAAATCATTTTCAGTGCATAGTGCTGAAAAAAATTAGGGACATATTTCACAGAAGAAGCTGTACTATTTCAATCAGTCTTTCTGAGGCGTTTCCAAAAGTGAACTGATTTCTAAAGCTCAGCATGTTTGACACCAGTCAGTGGATTTTCTCAGTGGTTTCTCCATGTTCAGTTCTGCATGTTGTATTTGATGTACTCACACAGTGTTTAAATAGTGAAGCTATTCTGATAGTTAACTTGGCCTGTCAGCAGGATAACAGCAAGGTGCCACCTGTTACGTGAGACCTGTTTCCTGCCAGGAACTGACATTTCTCCTCCATTCTGTTTTGAGTGACGCTTCCCTTCCCGCATTGCTGCTCCTTCGGGGGATCTTCAGATACGGGAAATCTGAGAAGTGAGCAAGCAGTGCAGAAGCACATTGCTGTGGTGTTGCTGCTCTGCAGCTGCACAGTACTCTGTATTGTCTCCCCATGGAGCTGGGAGCAAAGGGAATGCACAGGGAGTGGGGCAGAACTAACACCATATCACTAGTGCCTCAGTCAGAAGCAGTAGGACTGACAAGGAGAGCCAGCCCATCATTAGTTGGAACTTCTGAGGCTCTCTATGAACTGGTAGGCTCCCTAGTGCTGCCTCCTTCCCAACTCCTAGAAATTAGTTGACACCACTAGTGTAGTGAAAGTAGAATGATGTATCTGCCAGGGAAACAAACAGATCCTTAAGGCTTTTAGTACAAGGCAGATGTATAAGAAGTTGGACAGAGTACCAGGCAAAAAAAAAAAAAAAAAGACTATTTCCAAGGCAGTAGATTGTTGAGTGTCTCCATGTGCAGCCTCATTTTCTAAATTACAGTTTGAGACTACATCATGGGAATTTGGTGTGGTAAATTGTAAAAACTGGTTTTGGGGGTTGGACTGGATGATCTCCAGAGGTCACTTCCAAACCTAACAACTCTGATTCTGTGAAAAGATATAGTGCTATGGACGAATGATATTCAGCACCATCACTATTAGCTCTTATCTTCAGAAGATCATAGAGATTACTTAACATGAGAACCCCATTGCCTGAGCACTTCTCCCTGGCTGATTTTTACATCTCAAAGCCTGTAGCCATGGGCCCCCCATTACAGTGAGCACTGCAGGCAGGCCCTGCTGTACAGCACATAAACATTTCAGGCAGAATTTGTGTTTGTTGTATTCCTCTGTAAGCAAAACAGGCATCTTGTTGTGGTACTGGTGATGCTATTAGTAAATCAGATGTTCTAAAGCCTGCAGCAGAGTCTAACACAGCAGCATTTCTGGGCTAATCGATAGGAGAATGTGTAACGGTCCTGTATGAGATAATGGATACAAATAGTGCAGACCTCTGTCTCATTCTATCGCTGTCTGTCTTGCTGCAGAATGTGGGTCTGTGCACAGTGACCTCCACGCCTCTCAACTGTGGCCCCCAACTCCGGGTGCTGCTCCAGCGCCCAGCAAATGAGAAGCTACTCTTGTTGCTCCCTGTTGGCTATCCCAAGAAAGATGCTACTGTGCCTGTGCTGACCCGAAAGCCGCTGGAAGACATCATGGTAGTCATGTGAGCCCAGTGCCACTAGGAAGAAGCACATTCCTACTGATAGCTTGTAAGCAGCAGCCCACTGAAGTTGTCACTGCTGCTTCTGTGTATCATCCTCCTGTGTCACTGCTGTCCTGGCAGTTTACACCTGTGTTCCTCTTAGTGCTAGTAGTCTACCAATAGCATTGAGCAGTCATGCACTGTGCATTTGGCACTTGCTATTATCAATGAGACCAGGCAGTTGTTCCAGGAGACATGTACAATGGCATTTAAATGACCTTCATCACTCGATTATTCTTATGCATTGTAGGGATAAATCTTTACTTGAATGTATATTTTCCTTATACTTTCATGATTATCATTACCCAGCTATTTTCACTTCAGAATTTTAATGGAGGTTGTATTAAAAGATATAAAAGGTCAAACTTTGCTGTCTTATCTTGATCAGTGAGTGCTATTTACTGTGCTCCCCTTTCCCTTCACTGTGTTCAGTTCTGCATAGGAGGAAGCTATTTTGCTTGTGTATAGTAGCATTTTCCCTACTTGACTCATCTAAAAAAACCTTGCCTACACCAGGCTTTCTTAAACTATTGCTAGTACAGGAGTCTTTTTCTGGGGGAGATCTAGTAGGATCAAGATGTCCAAGTAATTTCCTTGTTACCATTTATTTATACATGTTCCACGCACAGTTAGATCATATGGCAGCTATCTAATGTGCTCCCTATATTTGCTATTTCTGCTGGAAGCAGCCCAGAGAAAACTACTGTTCTAAATAGCCTGTTTATACATACAACTATACCAGTTTAACACCTTGGATTTTAAACTGCTTTAGAGACCATGACACATGAGAGATGCTTTCATGTCACACCAAATCAGGTATATTTACGTTTCATACCGTTTCCTACGAAGGCAATGCTCCCTACTAAAAGCCCTGTCTACTACATGCAGGATGTGGCTGGGCACTAGCGCGAATTGCTCACGGGAAGGATGGACGCTGCCGATGCCTGCGCTGGCAGAGCCCCCTCGTGGGGTTGTGGTTCCTGCCGGCTCTGCCTTCGGCGCAAGATGAGAGCACTGAAATCAGAGATGTCAGCCCCTGAAGCTGTCCGTTCTGTGAAATCCTTTCCCACCCTGTTCTCTGCTGCATGCAACGTCAGGCAAATTTGGTCAGATTGGCTTCAGCTTTCTTTGGGTGTTGCTTGAGTTAACTTGCTGTGTCTTGTCCTATTCAACATGACCTGCTGTCTGTTGAGCAAGTGAAGGGGATAATTTGCAGAGGTACAGCGGTGTCAATGCCTCCACCACCCAATGAGAAAAACTACTCTTTGGCAGACCATTTTGCTGGTACCTAGTAGGCATGACCATGTGTTCACCTGTTTACTAGACCCATTTCAAATCCTCAGCAGTACAGCAGTGGCAGGAAGAGTTTCCTGTGCAGACCTAGTCTGAAATGAGCTTTTATAACTACAGTAAGGTAAAAAAAGAAGACATATGTGTACATACTTGCAAGGTGTAAAAGCTAGTCAGGGAAAGAGGGATGAGCTGAACCAAGCCAAGCCTGACTAGCTGCAGGTCCTCAGTTATCAGGAATACATATTAAAGTTACTGTAGCAAGCTGTCCTTCTGTGCAGATGTTTGTACGTCATATCATGCCATTTCAAAGAGCAGTTCCTACCTGCTGTACATGTATATAAGCCATGTTATTTTAAGTTTGTTCATTTTAACTCAGAGTCCACATCAATAGAGAACTGAATCTATTGCTTTGCGATCTCTTCTAGCTACAGAAATAAATTACTGCTGCCTGGCCTTGGTGTGCAAAATAGATAGCATGTTTATTCCATGACAGCATTCAGAGACACTTTTTCAGATGAATTCAGTTTCAAACAGCAGGAGTTTGTATATATAAGGCTGTTTCTAGTATGGTTTCATAATTAAAAAACAAAGAACTAAACCACTTCCTTAAAAATACACAAAAAATCATCACAATTACAAACACTGGTATTTAACAATGTATGTCTTTACACCAAAGAAGATTAATAGTGGCTTTTCCCCCCATGTGTTGATTCCAAAAAATAATATATACATAGTAGCTGAAAAAATAAAGCCCTCACACCTACTAAATGGGAAAGATTCTATTCAGGAAGGCACTTCTGGAATCACAAAGTGTAAGTAAAAGAAGGGTTATTTTTTTTTTCTCCAATACAAATGCTTATTCAAATGCAAATACTCCAGTAGTATTACAATTGCTGATTTTACTGCATTCTCATATAAATCATATTAGTGCTTCTGTTGTGACAAGCCTACTTAGAATTGCCACTGTTCTCTAATAAGCGTGCTGTCTTTAAACAGAAATTAAATAAGAATATTTTTTTCTTTTCCATGCAGAAGATTTGTAAGTAACATTAAGGTTAGCATTTAAATTGTTTTACTAGGGATTTTTTCTTTGTTTGGGTGAACAATGTTTTTCCAGGAAAAGAACATTCTGGGAGGAATGTCTCCCACACAACCAGTAGGGATTTGACTTTTATATTCTTCTTCTTCTTCTGTTTGAAAGCAAGATTAAAAGACTTGAGGAGATCAGCAAAAGATGCTGGAACTTGGTGTCTGTCTTTGTGATACCTTATGGCCACATCTCTGAAAGGCTCTGGGTTCAAGTTTACTCACTTCTAGAAAATGACTGTACACTCAGATGGTAACTGAGCCCTTTATAAAACTTAGCTCTAAATATTAGTTTTCTAGAATCACAGAATAATTGAGGTTGGAAGGGACTTACATCTTCCATCCTCTCCAAAACTCTGCTCAAAGCAGGTCTATTTAGATCAGGTCAGTCAAGGTCTTGTCCAGACAAATCTGAAGAACTCTAAGGATGGAAAGTCCATAACATCTTAAGGAAACTTGCATGGTATTTTTTTTCAATTCTGTAGTGAAAAAATGTTTTTCTGCTATCTAAGTGGAGTTCTTCATGTTTCAAATCGTGTCTCTAGTCACTCTTGTGCCCTTTTGTTAAAGCATGACTGTTCCTTATAGCCGGTTATTTTCCTTGTTCATAATCAACAGTTGGATGCCACCTTGTGAAAACATGGGTGATTTTGTGGGGAGAAAAAGCTGCTAACACTGAATAATATTTCTAGCATCTTTCTTTCTTGAACTGTGTGGACAAACCTGTGCACATTTAAGGACCCTCACTGTTTGACATTTGTGAAAAAAATGGACTTGAGGTGCAACATGGTACCCAGCATCACTACCCAGATAATTCAAGGAATGAGTATCACATGTTGTTGGATCTTGAAACCATGGCAAACTGCCTGTCGCCTTCCACTGTATGGATGGCTAAGCATTGCTTTTGGTAAGCTCTTGAATGCAGACCTTTAAGCTATTGCAGCTTACCTGGTTCATTTGCAATACAGCTGAACAGAAACTGAAGCAGGGAAGCACTTCTGCTGCTACTCCTGGAGCAGCAGTATCTTACCTACTCCAACATCTTCCGTTCCAGCCAGGTGAGCCAGAACCCAATTGGTTCTGCTAGAAAGTGATTTTCTTAGTAATTCAGAGAGTAAGGTCTGAGGTCTCTGTTGCACTGGTATATATGCCCATCTCCACTATAGCTTAGAACTCACCTGAGCTTCCTATAAACTACCAGGGCTGCAGTAATGATCTAAATACAGTGCTCTCAGCTTGAAGAAAATAGCAGGTTGTTGGTATTTATCTTCTTTGCAAATAATTTAAAGTGAAGTGCTGCTGTTTTGCATTTGATGGAGGTAACTGTGCCCAAGAACAGCTACTGAGTCTGAGCTGGTGCAGAGGGATGTATTAAACTGTATTTTATCAGCACTTCTTACCAAATGAATTTATGCTAGTACAATAAAAGCAAAGCAAATTCTGCATGTAAGGGCATCTTAACATGTTGCTGTGTATCCTGCATGAGCAGAAGAATGCAAGCCATAACCTCAGGTTATGGTTTTGCTCTAAGCTGCAACACCTCAAAGACTTTTAAGCGAGTAGACATGCAGTCAGCATCTGATGGGTTTATTTCTTTGATTGCTATGTAGATCTTATGGATTAATGGAAAATGAATCTTAAGAAAGCATCTAGCTCATGCTCCAAGGCAGGATCAGCTGAACCTTGAATGCTAGCTACTGACAGAACATGATTATGCATCACTAATCTACTGTTCCTAGAAAAGCACTTGAGAAACAAATGAAAACTTAAAAGCTGGTCCTACCATAACATGCAAGTGCTAGGAAGCTTTTTTGTTCCAAAAGGGATCAGCCTTGGCTTCATGTTGCTGTCACTGCTCAGACCTCCGTGGATATCATTAGGAAGAGGTCGACTGTTGTGTTGCTTATGAAGTGTTCTGCCCACCTGAGCTTAGTCATCCATTCTGCTTTTGCAGAACAGACATTTTATTAATGACTCAGAACTCTCAAGGCATTTCGCTATTTCTTTGGCTAACATTCCTTGTAACAGACATCCTAGAGAGCTCTAACCTCTCAGTCAATTCTTTGCCCACCCTGCACTGTGCTTATGCAATGTAAATGATGAGAACACTTAGTGGCATGAAAGCTGGGCAACAAGCCCATTCAAATTTAAGATGGAAAAGAGTCCTTAGAGCTTGGATCAGCACAGTATCAAGACAGCAGTTAAAAAACACATCCTGTTCCAGGTTGTGTGTATGTGTAATAACTTACACTTAAAAACCTTAGCTACAAGCCTGTAACTGTATCGGACTAGTTCTGATTGAAGCACAATGAAGGCAGACCAAGACTCAGGTAACACAGTCTAAGACATGGGGAAACAATGCTGGTCAGTGAGATGAGTGATGACCAGAATGTCAAGGCATCAGTTAACAAGTATTTTTTTGAGACACAGCATCAAAAGAGGTGTTTGAAGAATTTGTAAGTGCAGAACTGTGAAGTACTTGGACTTATTCATGAGGGGCTGTCCTGAGCCTGAGGGAAAGTTCTTGTCTTTTATATGAGGGTAGGATCTTGTAACTGGTATCACTAGTGACTTAGCTTGAAAGGGTGAGACCAGTCAGACAGTTTTGCCCTAGGATGTGAATGTTGGTGGAGTTGTGCTAAGGAACTCCTCTTGCAAACACCATGTTCCAAGTATGTATATCGAGGGTTAGGACAGACACAAACACAGCTGTGGAGATGCATGACAATCACAGATGTGCTTCCAAGAGAGGATCTGCTTTAACAAACTGACTTATTTTCCATTGGATATGCAATAGGGTCACTGTTTTGTAGATTGTGCGCTCGATTTTAGTGAAGATTTTGTGTTCTTTTTGTAGTGCAAATAGCCCAAATATTGCAAGGCTTTTAACATTTTCAAACTATTCCTTTGGCTCACCCATAGGATGGCAACAGTTCATGCACCTTGCAGAAGGCTGTCATAGCCAAGTCTCTGTGGTACCACTCTT